CGTTTCAAACGCTCGCTTCAGATCCATGAAAATTATCCCTACCATTCTCCTTTCACTGACTATCAGTTTCCATTCGTCAACAATAGTCTGAATCGCTGTTTCATATGAATAGTGTTTCCTAAAGCCCGATTGATGTTCAGTTATAATACTATTATTTTCCAAATACCTTTCAATTTGCTCTTTTACTACCAATTCTAACACTTTCTCAAATATAGGTAACACATTAATAGGCCTAAATTCACTCGCCTTCTTGGCTTTATCTACTTTTGGAATCGGTATTATTGTAGACGTTTTCCAACTTTCTGGACAGCAACCATCTCTCAGGGAGTTATTTATTATATCAACAAATTCCTCTTTTATTACGCAAAACGTTGCTTTTAATATATTACTAGTTATTTCCTCTTCCGTGCCTTTCTTATTTGGCAGTCCTTTAATAATTTTCTCTAAATGCTCTACCGTGATTCCCTCAAAATTTTCCATAATTTCCATATTTTCTATAGCATAGATAATTCTTTTACCTGCGCCTGTAGACTGATCCTCTATTATAGATTTTATTATACTATTAATATTCTGTATATAATATAAGTTAAATTTATCCGCTATATTGCACCCTATTGTACTATAATCTATATTATCTAATATTTCAAAATCTATATCTTTTATTTCTTTTGCACATACTGGCTCGCCTCTAATAATTTCTTTTAAAGTTTTCCACATAGTCGCAGGATTTTCCTTATTAAAATCTATCATATTTTCATAATATTCTTTCTTTTTCGTCCTGATTAGTTTTACTACTGCATTCCTATTAATTTTAAATTGCAACCAGCTTTGTTCTGTATCGGCGTACACTGCTTGCCTAAATGCCTCATCCCTTTTATCCGCAGCCTCTCTTATTACATCTGAGAACCATTTTTTCCTTTCCCATATTTTCGGAATTCTAATTTTCCTCTTCGGTGCCATTACATCTAATGCATTTACTATACTATTGACAAATTTTTCTGCTCTCTCACTCACACCCATACGTACACACTGCCATCCCTGGCTTTCCTGTAATTTATTTTTTACTAACATAACAAATTCACCTTCATCAAACTCTTTGTAATTCCTAACGCTAAATTCTCTATATTTACTTTCAATTTTATTCACACTCAACTCAACTTCCAGCCACGCGTGGTCCGTAATTTTGGGTTCATGAATTACTTGCACTCTTTTATTACTATTAGCGAAGATTAGATCTATAATTGTTTGACTATCTTTCGTGATTCTCGTCGGTTCGTTAACATACTGTTTCATACCCAAGCTTAACATTGCCGTTTGCAATTTCTTCGCATAAAACGAGTCCGTCATAAGATCTATATTAAAATCTCCTATTACCATGCATTCACCCTTTATTACTAACTCCTCTACTATATCCTCGAAAAATCTCATGAAATCCCCGTGCGATGCGCTTGGTGAGTGATATATTACCATTATCACTCCTTTATATAATTTATCTTTCACTTCTACCGCGACACACCAACAATTCGATTCTAATTTTTGTACTAACACCGTCTCGTAAATAATATCATTCCTTACATATAGAACAACGCCTCCTGTATTTCTATTCTCAGCATTACATCTAGTCATATTATAACCAGAAACGTTCACTTCATTGTCTTCAATATCCTCGATCAATCTGGTCTCCGATAATGCTAAGAACGCAGGATTTATTTTCTTCATAATCTGATGTTGAATCTCATCCTTATGCGCTATCAAACTCTGCGCATTTGTATACAGTATAATTTCTTCTTTCTTCTGTAGTTGCTACTTCTCCTCCCAGCCTGCTCTCCTCTTCTCTCCTCTGTAACGCCCTCTTAAAAGTCGGACATTCTCGGCTGATAGCTTCATAATCATCATTTATCCTCAAATTGTATGTTTGATTTTTGAACATACAGTTCACACATTTCTTCTCTGTCGCTGTACAGACACGCGAGTTATGATTCCCCGTGCATTTGCAGCATGTTTCTTCTCTCTTACAATTTTTCGGCAATATGAAAATATCCCCAGCACTTAAAACATCTTTTGACACTGATGTGATTAAATGCAGGACACTTCTTCCATCCTACATTTAGTTTTGTTTTCTGCAATATCATCTCGTGTGTCTCTTCATCTACCTCCATTATTATTGAACCTTCTTCATTTCCTCTTCTTTGATCGTTATTCTTTACTTTGACCATTCTCTTCACAATTC